ACATCAGAATCATCTTGTGACCCACCTTCCAGTCGCTCTGCTATTCCAGATGTGAAGAAGGCAGCACATTGGTCCAGTTTCAAGCCACGCACTTCGCTAGGCACCACTTCAGTGCAACCGTCAGTCTTCGATGCTGCAAAGCAGGAGGGTCGAAAACAAGTCCAGACGCAATTAGACTTCGATGTGATGCAGTTTTTTGTCACTGCCGGTATTCCACCGAGCAAGGCAGATCTCCCGGAATGGAAAGCGCTGTGGGCACATGGCAACCGAAACTTCAAGCCGGCGTGTGGCAGCACAATAGAAGATACTCACATTCCCAGAGAAGCCGCGCACATCAAGAAACTCACATTGGAGCTTCTACAAACGCAGCAAAATCTCACATTGTCATTTGATGGTGGAACGACGAAGGCTATTGATTCTGTTTATACTGTGCATATCATCACTGCGGACCGCCGCGTGTTCTTGTGGGAAGGCAATGAGGCTTCTCATGAATCTCATATGGGTGAGCATCTCTATGGTGTTCTCAAATTGGTACGTGAGCTCTCATCCACGCTATGCAACGTCGAAACTCACATCATAGCATTTGCAGGTCATTGAAGCTGTAGGACCTCGCCGCTTTCATGGAATCACGTCAGATAACACGGGTAATACAACCGTAGCGCGTGATCTTAACAAAAAGGACTATGCTTGGATCATTATCTTGCCTGACTCTTGTCACCGAATGAGTTTACTGTGTAAGGACATATCAAAAATCACCTACTTTGAGCTGGTATGCAAATAACACATTGCTTAGCATTGTTACAATCTCAGTCAAATCACAGGTTATCGCGAACATCAAGACGTCAATCAGATACTTCAAGAAGTCTTCTTTTGCGAACGCACATCTTCGTACCTGCAGAAAACAGCTCTGTATTGGGTGTGGTCTGGTTTCTGTGGGAAAGACCCGATTCGCTACCCTGTATCACTCTGGTGAATCACTCCTACATTGTCTTCCAGCAATCTCATCATTATGTAAAGAGAACATCATCTCTGTTCCGGTGAGTAGTGATTTTAAAATATGAAATGACAACTTGCGTACTCATCTGCCGACCAGAAAATCAACAACATCTTCATGACTGGAATTGCTGAGGCCCAATTCAAGTTCAGGCTCGAAGAGTTTGCAACAATCTTGAAGCCGCTTGCAAAGTCGATTACTTGTCTGGAGTCCACTCATTCAACCATATCTGATGTCTACATATTCTGGCTCGCATCTATGGCAGAGTTGCATGCATTCATAACTGAGCCTACAAATAGCCTTGACAATGCCGTGAAAGAAGAGATACGCTGTAACGCAAACCACAGGTTCAAGCAGATGATTGATCATGCACCTGATGACGTCTACCTGACTGGCTTTGTGCTTGATCCACGTGCGTTCTCATTTAAAGATGCTCAGTCCAAATGATCAGGTTATTCTGATACATTGACTTACAGGTTTTCGTGGTGCGAACATCCTCCGTGATCTCAATCCTCTCAAGATCCCGACAATTAAGATACCTTCGCGAATTTCCAACAACTCCGGTCCCAAGGCAAAGTCAGACAATGAGCAGCTTCCTCATACACTTCGTCGTGTTGGCAACTACCTGCTTCGACTGCTGAAGGTGGATAACCAGTCGGGTCAGACGATTGCCGACCTGGAAGCCTTAGATGCAATCCTGAGACTGAAAGAACAAATTGTCAAGTTTATGAAGTCTGCATACCCATTCGATAGACCTTTGCAGCCGACACAGGGACCTCAGCAATGGTGGGAGCGTTTGAACCAAGATCCATCAAATGACGCTCAGCCGCTCGCGGTATGGATACTTGTTTAAATTGACTGTTGATTCAATTGTCAAACTCATGTGTTGCGTGCATAGTACATGGCATATATGCTGTTCTCGCTCACTCCCAATTCAATGAGCGACGAGCGCACTGCATCCCTAATGACCTGGCTAAACAGTGCTCGGCGCAACCGTATGAAGGTTGCGACTTTGGTGCGTACTGTACAGATCAAGCAGTGGTACCGCGACCACAACCAGGTGAGCTATTTAGTGATATTCTGCACCGCGGCATTCTTATTTCCTTACGCAGACTAGGATTGTGCCTCCAATCCGTCCAACTGTCAAATTCCGTGATATTAAGCAAACCCTGTTTACGAAAGAGAAGCGAGGTGACTCCGTGACATCTGATGATGCGAGCACCTCAGATACCAACTCTGATGTTGAGTCTGATGCTGATTCTTGGACTGATGAGGTTGACCCGGATGAGGATGTGGAGGGTGTGGACGTGACGACGAATGTGCTGGATGCAATTTTTCACGCAGATTTGGCATCCCTCGAACTGCGTGACTTTCTATCTGACACACCTCTTCTTGCAGAGCCAAGTACAGCCTCAGGATCCAAGATCATCCCTCCTCTTGCTAGCGGTATCCAGCGCGTTGTGCAGGCCTCCGACTGGGAGATGTAATGATACACTATGTAATGAAATATTATGTAATGATGTTAAAAACTAGTTTAAAACATGCAAAAAAATGTACAAAACTGTCGCCTACGCGGCGCGTACAGTTTAAAACATGTATTAAACCCCCGGGGTAGTTTTTCCCGGAACGCTACAGCGCACGCGAGACTCGCGAGAGTCGCCACCTATCGCCACCGGCACCAGAAGAGCAAGTCCGAGTCGAAGAGCCTTGAAGAGCGAGCGCAAAAGAGAACACTCAAGCCGGGGTAAGACATGGAGGGACAGTACGATGTAAGGCTGGAGAGGTAACAGAAGCAAAGAGGCGCGATACCGTAGCGGCAGGTGGAGAATAAGTGCGGTTCATGGGTACGTCCATGCATTCCTTGGCCTTGAGAGGCAGCTTGTGCTGATGAGCTGCATTCCGCGGGAAGATGAAGCAGATGAATCCGGAGATACGTGCTCGGAGGGACGAATGAAAGTTGCGCGTTCGTCCGGTCTGTCTTTCGTGCGTTCCACGCATCTTGGTGGCATTGATTGATCTCACTCCATCTGTGGTGTTCTGAACCTCTCCGCAGACATATGTTCGATTGAGCGGATGCCTGGCGGTTTGGAAATTCGGAGCACCCTCTCGCCTTTGCTCACAACAATCTCTTTCCTGATCCATTCATCCTAGTGCGGCATCATTTCACGGAGCACGCTTGCCAGAAATGAAGCAAGATACCGACAAAAACGTTTCCGCTCACGGGATGACCGAGAAGCTCTTTGGCAGACCTGACCTACAATTCAGAGATGATACCACTCACGGATCGTTCGCGCTCAGAATCTCGCAAAATTTTGCGATGTCCTTCAGATGAAGCGGTCGTTATCGCTGCAGAAAAGTCAGGAAGCAGGATGGGTGAATCTCTTACCATTCATCTCATCATCGAGTACTTGGCTGCTAATGCTTCCTTTGCCTATGTGAGACGAATCCGCTATACGACGGGATGTCGTACATTCGAAGGCCAGGGTGTATTTCAAGCAGATCAATACTACGTGACTATATCATAGCTGCAGTTGCATCCGATTTACTCCAAGGTTTGTTCGAGTGGATCACGGCCAGATTAGATGCAAGTTGTCTAGATCCGATTCCTGCACGATCAATACTAGTAAGTGTCGGTTCATCGGCATGCAGCAGCAGAGTAACGAGTCGGGAATATTCTGCGGATGACGGAAGAAGGGCATCTCAGCACAATGTACTCGGTGCGTCTCGACTCAAGCTATCATTAGTCGAAGCGCTCTGATTACTTTTTATACTCTATGTGGACATCAAAGTGAGTGGCACCTTCTCGTCTGCTGCCTGCACCGTTACACGCAGCTCAGCTAGGTTCCCATGCACGACCTGGTAGCAACGGTGCCATGTCAGACTCCGATGATCCTGAAGACGCGTTCCTTGCGAGGCTGTTGGGCGTGTCACGGCCTAAAGGCGGTGCTGCATTTAGACGGCCTGCAATTGCAGGATCGATTGCACCGCAAGCAAGCGCTATTGGGAGACTCGGGTCCTGATAACAGGAACCGCTGAGAAATGGACGCTGAGAAGCCAGGCTGAGTGGCTTGGCTGTTCAAGACAGCTGTACATGTGTGCTGCAAGCTCCATGTTCATGGGCAGGTCGTGCAATGTGCAGTGCCTGCCACAGCGACCGTCAATTTCAACATGACATCCTCCGTTCACTCTATGGATAAAGCGGGCGCATTACTCGTACCCACGTCTTGCAGATGCTGTCCATGGTGCGTGTCAGGACGTAGCTGAGAAGGCGAAGGGCACTGACCCTGGAGAAGGCAAGCGACACATGAATGCGATGGTCCAAGATAAGTAGAACATTGTATTGGTCACGGCTAGCACATGTGTAGAGCAACATCGATGTCCGGCGTTCGATAGGAGAATGAATGCAGTTACATCGCTGTGCTGTACTATACGTCCAGATGACATTTCCGGGTGACAGAAGCGAGCACTGTAGGACAGTGCCACAGCCTCTATCGTGATCAAGTAGAGGCTGTGTGGGAAGCGTCCGTCACGTGTTTCACACTGAGTATAAGGAACGACTGTCTTTCTGTACGAAGGCTGAAATTTATGAGCCTAGTTTCACACCTCATCGACATCCTCTGCGAGAGGCCGCCGCGCACATTAGAATTACTCGTCAGCAGCCGCATTAATCGTGTTCTCGGATACTTGCTGATATAACGACACAAGCTCATGGCTGCTCCAGCCCCGCCGATAAATGACCCTCAGCCCCGCCTTCCGCCCGAAATCTGCGAGCGCATCATCGACCATCTCGATACGTTTTGGCGCGATGACGGACAAACTCTGTTGAACTGCGCCCTCGTTTGCTGAGGGTGGTACGCCGAGAGCCGCGCGGTCTATTTCGAGGAGCCCGTGCTCTCCACTCGGAAAAAGGCACTTCTTTGTGTGACGTCGCTGAAGCAGACACCCCTCCTCGGTGCCCGTGTGCGACGCTTACAGATCGGGCCTTTCGAGACAGGTCCGGAGTGGGCATCGGTTCTCGTGATGCTCGCAGGGAAACTTCCAAACCTGGACAAGCTCAACTTCTACTCCGTCAGCTTCGAGCACTGCTCCGTGCACAATACAGCGCTTTGGAGCTTGCAGGAATTCAGTCACATCACATCATTGTGGCTGAGAAATGTGACGTTGCCATCGGCGAGCCCCTTCTTTCAGGTCGTCTCTTCATTTCCTCGTTTGCAGCACCTTCAGTGCCGCTATCTGCACTGGAGCAAATCGAGGTCCTTGGCTCCACTGCCTCAACGCCACCGCATGCCTTTGACGACAGTGACTTCCCTTGAATATGACCTGTCGTGCTTCGAAGGCATTGGACCTATTCTTCTTGGTCTGCTGGATCAAGCTAACCTCAAAACACTCCTCTTAGAGCCAGAAGTCTCTGCGGCGGCTCTTGCTTTCGCCCAAGACATGCTGAACATAGCTGGCAAGAGACTCGAGGAGGCAAAAATCGTCTTCCGGGTACCAAAAGCAGACGTCGGTGGCAGTTCCCCGCCCTTTTTCTGTGAGTACACAAATAAATAGTGTTCCGTGCACAGCATGGCTCATACTTTTCAAGTGCACCCTATCAGCTTTGAAGCAAATGTCAATCTACAGACACTGGACCTTCTCTACGAAAACATGAGTGACATTGCACTGCTTGTCCGGAGTGTGCTGTTGCCTCCGCTCGAGACAATATCATCAAAAAATCTCGACAGCATCCATTTCTACATAAACAACAATTCCGAATGGAAAACAGATGCCTTTCTTAACGCATTTGATCCAGGGGTCTGCGCTCAGATTGATGAGCTTTTGGCTGAGGGACATTTCCCCAAGCTGCGAGACGTGTCTATAGGCGTTCGACTACACAATCCACGGTTGGATGACTCACAGCGTCTTGGGCTTTGCACAGAGATCTGTGCGCGTTTTCCTAAACTGAATGACAAGAACATATTCACGTGCGTCATCCTCGTTTCTTGGATACTTGACCGAACTCACTTGGTTGTAGTCTTCGTTATAACTTCGACAGATTTCCAAGTGATGCTGAGAAGGCTTTGAAGGCGAAACGACTGGCCAATAAGCAGCCTCATCCAACCGAGCAAACCGAGCAAACCGCCGCATAGGCAAATACTGCCTTTGCAGTCATACCATCTTCCCTTCAATCTTCTCTCCCACCGTTTATCCTGGACATGCAGCTCATACGGCCGGCCAAATATTATCCCATCTACCAATTATCCACACTCCAGCCCGAACATCGTACTCTCACCCAACCTTGTCCGCTCTCGTTGCGCCGCTGCCGTGATCTTCGATACGGCATGTCATTGCCGTGTTCACTATGACCTATTGCATACCCGCATCCCATTTTCTCGACAATCACATTTACGCCTCTACCACGGTCATCACGATCACTCGTTCCCTTCCGCGTAATCACTGTCTTCGCAGAGAAGCCTCTTGACTCCCGTATATATCGCATCACTGGCCAGTGTATTCTCGAACGTCCAGCGGCTTCTATCCGAGTCTTGCATACTCAGTGCCGGATGTAAGTACTGCGCCAAAGATAGGACTATCTGTATCTTTCTTGATTTGTACCTATGCGTTTACTATGCGGTTTCGTTCTTATAGGACTACAAATGCAGTGATATCCTCGTGGGATGACTCCCGTTTGGTCGTGGGTTCATGACCCAGTAACGTGCGCAGGAAGTCGAGCAGACCACAAGAGCCGGAAAGGAGGATAGCAGACCCTGCTATTGATAGGCTGTCAGCAATACTCACCCTCAGGGTAATCATGCGCGTATATACTTATCAGTTCAACAAACGACCCAGCCTTTATGGCGGCGTGAATTCACAGAACGCGGGACAATAGCCATTAATCCGACAGTGCTATGTTGGCTATGGAGATAAGAGGAGGATGATGAACGTCCTGGGAAGGGAGTGCATAGTGTTGATTCTGCGTTGAAAAGGCACTTAAGATAGGTGAAGAGGTACATGTCAGATAGCAGGACCTTATATACTCGCGGTGTGCTGCTGAACGCGACGTCACTCGATGGGGCAATCTGACATAACTCTGTAATTCCGTTCAACATGCGCGCAGATCACTTAGGCGGTACGTCGCATCGACTTACCTCGTCAGAGACATCTCGGACGTGGCGGGGCATACCTTGATTGGGAAAGTGCTCCGATGGTTCTTTCGTGCCCTTGCCACTACCGCACACAGGCACCTGGAACAGTCGCATCATACGACTCGTGCAACGCAGGAGAAGAGTGTGGAGAGTGCATGTAGATGCTGCGTAGCCATAACCTTAGCAAGACCGAGTCGATGATGGTGAAGAACCGACGCCCGTAACGGTGATTATCTCGTATGTCTGCGTCTATAAAGCGCTCGTTATCAGGCCCTGGATGCTGTTGTCGCAATCCTGCTAGTGAAACGTCAATCGACAGAAATTTTGGTGTGACACTATTCTCAATGCTCACCTGGCTTTGGAATTCCCTATTTGAAAACTCTCTTGTGCTGCGATGTCGAGTCCGTCTACGTGCGAGACCATAAAACCTGTGAATATCAAGATCAATATGTTCGGCCTCACAATCCTAGTCACGACAATATCGGGAGGTGAAGAATACAGGCGATGGAAAGGTGCTTAAAAGATGGTTAGGAGGCTCGTACAGCGTGGCCGCACTTCGGTTCTATATCCATCGAAATGTGCATGTATCCCAGTATTATAACGAATCGACATGCTATTGAGTGCAGGAGGCGCTGGAATCGAGACGGTATATCTCGGAAGAAACGTTATGGTATACAGACGGCGTGATTTTGGCCACGCTGGCCCGTAGTATCGTCTAGCAGAACAAAGGACGTATGCTTCAAGTCCTCGATCCTCGATCACAACGCCTCGTGCTGTAGTGCCTGATTTGATCTTCTTCCGTCCATCCAATTCGCGCTACCTAATCGTACACTTCAATTATGCCGCTTCGTTAGCCTGTTCGCCCTTCTTCAGCCTCCGGTTCAGACGAGCTTTCGCAGATTTCGATAGAGATCGCAATTGCGGCTGTTGGTACCTAAGCATACAATATTAGCATTTCGGCGACTCTCAAGTAGTGAATGGGACATACGTTGCACCACTGGCCACCAGTTCTGGCAATTGTTGACGGCACAATGTGACCTTCATGAACGCGACTTTGCGTTGTTGAAGGCTATTGTAACGTTATAAGAATGCGATAGTTCAACATGGGTGCACGTACTGTCTTCGTCCTTGCAAAGCAATAGCGAGCGCCATCTGTCTCTGTTCTTCCGATGTTTCTGCGGATATGTCAACCTCGAGCTCGCCAACTTCGTTGTATTGATGCAACCCAGATAGCTTCCCCGCTTCCGAAAGCCCTGGATCCAATGTCTTGAGGTATTCACGCTTTACAATCTCCACAACAGAGACGAGTCTGGGGATCGTTGACATGGATGTATGCATACGCTGTTGCTTCTTCGCCACTGTGGCTGCCTCCGCTTGTCCTTCAGTCTCATCTCCCCCAGTCTCCTGCGCCGCACACTGGCGGTCTGCACCTTTGCTCTTGGCAGCGGGAAGTGTGTGGAAGGTCAGTGGTCGGTCTGGATTTTTCTACGCTGTCGCAAATCAGCATCGGGCAGGAAATTCCCTTCAGCCACGCATACACACCTGGAAGAACTCGAGTGCGAATTCGACCCATGCGCGTATCTTGCCGTGGTTTGTGATCCGGATTTCATGAGATGTTCCGGACGAGACTCCGCCGTCTGTGGGTGTAATGCTTGCCATGTTTTCATCCGCCATGCTCAGACGCGTTGAGGATGTGTTTCGAGTGGCCGAAGAGGTGGTGGTCGACGAGGAAGCGTTGTGGCCTATTTACCGGCTAATTTAGGTTATCAAATCCTATTTCGGCAACCCGCGCCCTCTGTTTAATCCATCCGAATCGAGATCGACTGCTTCAAGTTGGTCGCTGTACCCGACGTCGTGCAGCCCTCATCCGTCGCTGCCTGACTCGTTCTACACAGTCGTGGAAGCAGCGAATACGTTAGCATACACCTACTGTCTACTGTGTGCGTGTACCGCACGCGAATCTCGTCGAATCGTCCGGTCGACCGCCGGCTTCAGTTGCTCTAAAAAGGTCGGACGCCTGCGCCTCGATGCCTCGTCGCACTTTGACTCCCGCGACACCCGTCCCCGCCCCGGCACTCGTCGCTTTGCCCAAAGATCCCGCTCAACTCGCCCTATCTGACCCCGAATGGGCCGCCAACCTCACCCTGCTCAGGCGACAGTGGAAATGGGCCGCTTTCAGCCAATTCTTCTACACCTTCGCTCAATTGCTGGCCATGCCCGACGTCACTTTAGTTGTCAGTGTCTCTTATTCTCATGACGGCTCTTTTGGACCACCGGACTCTTCTGGGGTCGGATGACGAGGCATGGCGCGTTGCTGACGAGTCTTGGATAGGACATCGAGGACGACCTTACGCGAGGAACTGCGTTATACTTGCCTCGGGTGATGCACAGGCTGCTATATACTTTGACCCAGGACAGAAGATTATCGTTCGTGCATTCTCTTTCAAGATGCTCACTTTGCTCATGTTCCTCACGCTAGACTGGATAATTGGCAGACTGTACTACGCAAGCAATACATGAAACGTGATCCGGAGGCCAATCCCATCGGTCCTGAGCCCAAAGCACCCACACGCGAGTCTACTCTCGAGTTGTCAGTTCCTCCGCAGGACAGCGTGAAAGATGGCAGCGTGACCGACACAACTGGGGATGATGCAGCTGTGGCGGAGGGCTTAGAAATGAGCAATGGAGAGGCCAAACACCGGAATGAATCCGACGTGCTCCTTCGCAACGGTGACAGAATTGTCGAGCCGAAACTTGAACCTGCGGAAGACGATCAAGCACTCAAACGAGAAGACATTGTCGAGCTAACTCCGCCGCGGGATGACGGCGAGAGCAAGGACTGGACCGAGTTGCCGATGCTTGCGAAGCTGGACTCCCTGCATCTTCTTATTGAATGGCAATTTCAGAACCCGATGCGAGTTAGATCTATCATGAAAGATGATGACGAGGGAGCGCAGTGGGTGAGTACCTGCATCTCTACGTTATCTGTAGCCTATTCAAGCTATCTTACCTTTTTATATCCTCGTAGCGTATAGAACCGATCGGATATGATGCGAAAACAAACGCATATTGGTTAATTGGCCGTGCGTTGCATATTCGCTCCTAATGTGATCCTGTGTCCTAATGCTTCAGTAGCCGATCGCCTCTGGATTCAAAGAGTGCCGCCGAAGCCTCCAAAAGGTGTGAAACGCAAACGTCCCGCAATAAAGAAGTCGAATGCACCGGCGTCCACCGGCAAAGACGACCAGGAATACGAGTCAGAGGCGGAGGTGTCCCCCAAGCGAAAGCGTACACAGCCGCAACGTGCCATTACAAATGTACGCGCCTCTCGCAGCCGCGCGAAGCGTGCTGCCACGCCGATTGCTGAGCCACAGGAGAACACGGGTCGACGAGGCACTCGCGCCGCCAAGCTGCAGGCGAACAAGAAGCTTGATGTACAAGCAAGGGAGCTTGCAGAGTTCCAGCGTCAAGCAGCTCGACTGGCGGCGGCTAGTAGGTCGAGCGGTCGATCAGCAAGGCAGCACGTCCAGTCGTCTCCGACCAGGCGTTCAAAAAGACCCATGCTGGGTACACGCACGAGCGCAAGGCTGAGAGGGGTTGGAGATAAGGAAGATGATGATGAGTGGCAACAGGTTCCAGAAGAGTGGCTGAAGGAGACTGTGCCGGCGATTGCGACCAGAAGTGCAAGGGGGAAGGGCAAAGAAGGAGAGAGTCAGAAACACATAGAGGAGAGAGAAGTTTTGCAGCCGCCTGCGGAGAAGCTTGCTGAAGAATTGAAGACCGGGCTGGAGAGCGATGCGAGCAGCAGCGAGTTGACAGAGTTATCTGACGACGGTGAAGAGGATGCCGAAGGATCTGTAGACGGCGAGGATGTTCCTGCAGAACCTGAGCCGAAGCCTCCTTCGCAACCCAGCAAGCGACAGGCAAGGTCCAGAAAACGTGCACCTGACGTTATACAAGATGATTCTGAGAAACCTCCTGGACGAAAATTAGAAGAGACCAAGGAACAGGAGCGAGAGCAACAATTGGCCCCAGAAGACATTTTCCCGATACCGAAAGATTTTATAGAGTGGGAATCAGTGAGTACCTTTGCTCCTTTCATACTGCTAGTAGCTAAACAATGGTCAGTTGTGCGTTACGTTAAATGAGTGGGAACATATAGCGGAACGCTTCGCGAGAGCAACTCATTATTTGGAGAAGGCACTATACAAAATGCTGAACCAGAACATAGTGCCGGTGGTGACTGCCGAGCTCAGGGTATGTTGCAATCTGTCTCTTCGTCCTGCGTACTCAGCATTGCGGACTCCCATGCACAGGAAGCGGAGCGTCGGCGAAAAATAGAAGACGCGATTGTCCATCGCAAGCGCTCTTCTCGTATTGCCATTAAAGAAAGTGAGAAAGAGGAAGCTCGTCTGGCTGCGAAGAAGAAAGCAGAGGCGGACGAAAAATTAGCTCGTGCACGGCGGCAAGAAGCTCGGGAGAGGGAGAAAGAGGCCGAGCGGGAAAAGAGGGAGCATGCTAGGGAGCAGCGCAGACTCGAGCGGGAAGAGAGGGAAGCACGGGCACTGGCGAAAGAAGAGAGAGCGCAGCGGAAGTGCGTCTGTTTTCACAGAGAAGCCACGGCAATCACTCACACAGAACCGTACACAGGGCACAAGGCGATGACAGGGCTTCAACATCCACACCTTCTGCCCCCGGTACACATTCAATGGAGCCAGTGCAGCTCAGTAGTGCACCGACAACCAGCGGGATACAGACGCCGAATTGGGTACTGGATTGCGAGATCTGTCACAAGAGCGGCGTCAACCTGGTATGTCTCTAAGCAAATTGGAGTTGGTCGAACAGACTTACCTAATTGTTTGGCAAGGATGACGGCCTGGCGATGGTCTGCTGCAACATTTGCCAGAAGTGGCAACACATTCCCTGCCACGACCTCGCCGATCAACGCGCTGGCCGTCCCAGGAGAAATTGGGAAGTGCAACAGTTCTATTGTCAGAAGTGCCGTGCGAGGACGATGGCGTCTGCGACGTCCCACGGTCCCCCCAGTCATCAACGGTATTCAACATCGCAGGCGTACCCTTCATGGTCACAAGCAACCGACTCCGCCATGCAGACATCGAAAGCGGCTTCAAGCCCTTTCCAGCGGGACATGTACCTGCAGCCGACCTCGGACATGCGATACGTCCCGCGGCAGCCACAGCCTCAGCCGGCGAGGAACGGGATGGACTATCGCTACGAGTCGTATGCGCGGCAAGGCGCACCGGCGCAGACCGCGTATACGCGGACGCAGAACGGGATCACATTCTCCCATTACCAGCCGGAGCAGCGTGCGTTTAACACCATCCACTCGTCACAGGCGCAACTTGCTGCAGCGCAAACGTCGTCGTGGCCGAATGGATTCGCGGCTCCGGGAGGCGTGAATGGTCGATCACCCGAGGCGGCGCCGTTCATGCCTCAGTACGCGCAGGCGAGCACGCCATATGGCGGTGCAAGGCTGCCGACGGCATATCAGGCGCGTTTTTCCCCTCGTTGAGTAGCGAATTTTGGCTTATATAGTTTCAATCGCAGCAGGGGTCACCGATGCCTCAGCATCAGCCATATGGCACTGTCCAAGAACCATTGCCCGGGAATGCGCAGTGGGGAAGGGGAATGAACGGCTATCCGTCTTCCAGTGATAGTGCTACGCGCTCGGCTGCCGAATCCCTAGCGTATCTGCAGGGAGCGACAGCGGGTCAGTCTAACAGTTGGCAGCGCCCAGCGGTCACTTCTCCACACCCGCTTCCGCAGAGTAACGGGGGCGTGTATGTCGATCGCGGATATTCCTCCACGCCGCATGCGGGTCAGTCGCCGATGAACGGCACGCCTCAATACCCTTATCCATCATAAACTCCGAGATGTTGTAGCGGATGCGCGGTTGTAGATTTTTCTGGATAGTGAAAAGGAGAATTGTACCTACATGCCGTGACTTTGAAGCGGTGGTACCAGTAGTATTTATTGCTTACTGCGGCCCATCCTGTAATTACGAGCGTTTTGTGTTGTCTATTAATACGTGGTAATGCGGATACGATTTAGTTATAGTCGTAGACCTCGCTTGGAAGTGTTTTCGATTTCTTTTGGACGTTCGCAATTGGATATATAAATTGTTCAAATTGTTATTACATTCGCCTAGCTCGGTTCTATCGGATACGTTCGTACATCTTGAAGCATGGTGCGACGAAGGGGAACGGATCTTCATTGTCTGAGGAGGTCTCTCTGTGAATGGGGATGAGTGCTGCAAGAAGGTGCGGAAGGGTCTGATCGTGGATCGTCACGCACTCGAATGGTCCGAGGACGCGCAGCCCGCGGACGTGGGTATCCTTGCCGTTCATGTGGTTCGTGAGGATGATCACTTGGATAACGTATGCGTGAATCGGTTTACTGGTGTACCGACCCACAGATGAGCATGCAAGTGTCTGATCCGCATATCGCGAGTCGGACGCACAAACCGTCACCGTCAGGACTCGGCTCGGCAGACACGTCGAACGTGATCCAACCGTCAGGCTTGTCCAAGTGGATGGCTCGCACGTCTTGTAGATCATGGAGCCCCGTTCCGGCACGCACGGCGATGGTCGCTGGGGTGTATGAGTCGTCCGCGGGGAAACTGAGGTATAAACTGAGTTTCTGGGGAAAATGAGTGAGCGATTGTGTGTCACGATTGCTAGCGGATCTGGAGAGTGCGCACTTGAATCGCTACTTTGCGAGGAAATTCGACCGTGATGAAATGCGGTTGGGGTCCATCTGAGCTGCAGTACCGCCATTGGTATCGTTCGAGAGCTAGGCAGAGAATTGGAAATGCTGATGCTTACTGCCAGAACGTGTCTGGGTCGTCATCGCGCAGACATTCAGGGCCGAAACCAAATTTGTACGAGGACACGGACCACTTTGCTAAGTGTCCGATGTCAGGCCATGGCAGAGATGGGGGCTTTCTTCCTACCAGGAGAGATTGAGTTCCCGCGTTGGAAGAGGAAGTGGAGGGTATGGCGTACCAGCATGCATGATGGGTGTGCCATCCGTAGGGAGCTGGGCGACATGGTTGATACCAATGGGGCCTACCGCGCTCACGCTGGTCATTGAGGGTATTTATTTGAGGATGGCTGTTACGTTGAAGAGTTTCTCGCCACGAAACACCACGCGACCAGTGAGATGCGAGCCGTCGCCACTTGATTGAGATGATGGAACGCGTTGAACCTGGTCAAAATGGTAGCGATGCCAGTACGGAGAGTAGGACACGGATGCCAGAGCCAAATATGCTGGGAACGCTGTCGAGAAGAGATAGGGCAAGCTTGTTTGTTAATTCGCAGTTGTGGCCAGTGGCTAACGATTAATTGGGACACACAATGTTGATCCCGATGATCTCGGATCAGCGCTGGTGGCAAATTCGGGCCACCCGGTGAAGGTCAGTTTCGCCTCTGCTCAGATGGACGCGTTCACTACTTCACCACGAAAGTCTCCAGCAGGTCCTATCAAGAGCGTCGAAGAGTCAGAACAGTCATCATGCGCTCAGAAACTGCATCTCTGCGTCTCGACGATTACAAGCGCTATGGCAGACAGATGATCCTCAACGGGATAGGCCTTCCAGGTAGGCCAGTATTTCTCTATGGACTATGGGATGCAGCTGAATTGAAGTCTGCTCAGGACAACTAAAGCTTCAGAATGCGTCCGTAGTTGTGGTTGGCGCGGGAGGCCTGGGATGTCCTGCTCTGCAGTATCTCGCAGCAGCAGGCGTCGGTGAGTCCTCTTGAGCCGCTCAACTTTGCGCGTATTGAGAAGTCCTTTGATCAGGCAGGCTGGGAATCATTGACCATGATGTCGTGGAGCTGTCCAATCTACAACGGCAGATACTACATACCGAGGCTCGCGTTGGAATGCATAAAGCCCTCTCCGCTGCAGAAGCCATCAAACAGTAAGTCGCACCTGTACGATCGATTCATGCGCTATCAAGATAAATTATTTCTATATAGCATCAACTCCCGCGTCCAAGTCACCGCCATCACCGCCGCCCTCACCGCTTCCAACGCGCTCTCCCTCCTCTCCGACTACGATCTCATCCTCGACTGCACCGACAACCTCCCCACGCGCTATCTCCTCTCCGACACCGCCGTGCGCCTCGGCCGCCCGCTCATCAGCGGCGCCGCCCAGCAATTCGACGGCCAACTGTGCACGTACAACCGTGGCCCTGGCGAGGGCCCGTGCTTCCGCTGCCTGTTCCCGAAGCCGCCGGCTCCCGAGCTGGCGGGCTCGTGCGAGGAACTAGGCGTGCTCGGTGCGGTGACGGGTGTGATTGGGAATTTGCAGGCGCTGGAGGCGATCAAGATCATCACGGGCCTGCATGGTGTGTGTGCAACCTATGAATGCCGCTCAGAGTTATGGTGTTAATTCGAAAGATGAACATTGCAGATAGAAAGTCGACCATGCTGATATACTCGGCGCTCAGCACGCCGCCATTTCGCACCATCAGGCTGCGCTCTCGACGGCCGACCTGTCCTGCGTGCGGAAACGAGCGCGAGAAGGTGGGCACGATCGAAGAAATGGACTACGCGATGTTCTGCGGCGGGGAACGCCCAGATTGGGTCAGCAGAGGCTTAATACAAGACAGGTCGGGTAGTCGAATACGTGCCAAGGTACGGAGACTCGTCGGTGGCGCATAGAATCCCTTCTGATGTACACACACAGGAACTGAAAAATATACTTGACTCCGGCAAGAAGGTGCGAATTGTGGATGTCAGGCAGCCGACTGAGTTTGGGATCTGCCACCTCCCGGGGTCGACCAGTACGTGTCGCCTCTCCAACCACTGAGCATACCTCACGTTCACCTGTTCAGACATACCTATCAAAGAACTCGTAGCCAACCCGTCCCTACATATCGGACAACCCGACTCTAGAACAACATTGAACGGAGATGGCTTGTCTGACGAACCGTCTGAGGACCTATCATCGGAGACGACGCCAATGGAGACATATGTAATCTGTCGCCTTGGGAACGACTCGAGGATCGCTGTCGATGCTCTGCGGAGCGCAGGCGCCACTGGGATGGTGAAGGACTTGGTGGGCGGATTGCGAGCATGGGCGATGGAGGTGGACGAGACATTTCCGGTTTATTAGGAATAGCAAACAAAGGACAGTCCCGAGCAGTGTAGACTACAGCGATGACGAGATGCAGGTACGATGTCTGTGTCCTCTACGGGATGCGCACGGTCCTGAGGGGAATCTAACGACACTCACCCACGCTGTTTCTTGAGCATTCCGCAGCGATGATGATCACTTCGTCTGAACGCTGCCATAGACTCATCGCAAGATGGACTCTGTGAGGTCACGACATGCGAACGATTCGTGACTATCATCTCTGAGTTGTATTTCGGTCTGCCAAAGGCCTTCTCCGAGTTGGTCATCTCGTGTGCGAATGCGGATTGACATAATTTATCCTTCCGCGGCCTGCAACCGATCAGCACGAGACTGCACGAGACTGCCTCCAAAGGAGTCCTTGCTCGGTCTTCGTCGCCATTACGTCTTGCTTTTACGTGGTTTCTGCGCGAATGTCACATTCTACCTTTCTCACAAGTGCGCCAGTGACTTCTGCCACTCTGGCATCGTTGATATTTTGCATCGAGTGCACCGTGGTGAGATCCTTCTATTGTTTTTAAATACATGTTCATTGATATCTTACAGCTTGAGACTGATCGCCCGGCATGAGGTCGCTGAAACTTTGTTCTGCATTTATGATTCTATGAAAACGAAACCGCATAGTAAAGACATATATACAGGTCAAGCGACGCAAGGGAAAGACACGCGTAATCACAACTTTTGTACAGTGATTGCATCCGACACTGAGTACATAAAATGAAACTGAGATAGAAGCTGCTGGACGTTCGAGAATATATCAGTGATGCGAGGTAAGCGTCAAGAGGATTTTCTGCTAGGACGGTGATTACGGGGAAGGGGGAAGATTATGATGACCGTGGACGAGGGTTACTGTGATTGTCGACGAATGGAATGCCGGATATGCAATAGACCATAGTGATGACCAAGGCGACGACATGCCATATCCAGGATCACGGCGACGGCATGATGAAAGCGGACGAGGAGGTTGAATGAGGGTGCGATGCTCGGGCTGAAATCTGCATGATCTGTAGACGGAATGGGATTTGGCCGGAAAAGAGGGATGGGCGCCGCCGTAGGAGCGGCATGTCCAGGATGATTTGGAGAGGAAAGTGAAGGCGAGATGGTATGAGCGAAAAAGCAGGATTTGCCTATGCGGCGGCTTGCTCGGGTGGACCAGGCTGCTTATTGGCCAATTGTTCGGCCTTCAATGCCCTCTCAGCATCACTTGGAAATTGGTCTCTCAGATAATGGATACTGGTCCTATGTGAGTTCAGTCAGGTATTCAAGAAGCGAAGATGACGCACGTCAACATGTTCTTGTCAATCAGTCTAGGAAAACGCGCACCGATCTCTGAGAGAAACTTGACATTCTGTAAGTCGGGCATCCCACTTATGTCTTCGTAGAATGCTGTGGATACGTCTTCGTAGAACGCTATGGATATGTCTCGCAGCTTGGCAAAATTGTCCTGCGCTAAACGCTCATCGATCTGAAGACAGGCATCTTGATCGAATGCATTAAGCAGGGCATCTGTATCCAGCGCGTATTCGCATTGCGTAACAACGGAGATCGTTTTGAGATCTTTTGATGATATTGTGTTGAACAGAGGCAGCAGCACGCTTCGGACAAACAGCGCAACAACATGCGTTCCTGAAGTGTTGATGCGCAGTTCCAGCTCCTGCATATTTACATTTGTTTCAAAGCTGATAGGGTGCACTCAAAAAGTATATGAGCCACGCTGTGCACGCAACATTATTTCATTGCATATACTCACAGAGCAAGGGCTGGGGGGTTGTCATAATCAAATTTGTTTCGTTCCCAGAAAGTGATTACTGCCTTCTCGACTCTCTTGCTGGCCATGTTCAGCATACCTTGAGTATAAGCAACAGCTGCCGCAGAAACTCCTGAATGTAGGTTGAGTGTTTTGAGAACAGCTTGATCCAGCAGACCAAGAAGAATACGTCCAATGTCTTCGAAGCACGACAGGTCATAATGAAAGGAAGTCACTGTCGTCAAAGGCATGCGGTGGCGTTCAGGCAGTGGATCCATGGACCTCGGTTTGCTCCGGCACAGTTTCTGGCAATGAAGGTGCTGCAGACGAGGAAATGAATAGATGACCTGAAAGAAGGGGCTCGACGATGGCAACGTCACATCCATTAGACGGAGTGATGTGATATGACTGAATTCTTGCAAGGTCCAAAATGCTAAGTGGCGCGTAAAGCAGTGCTCGAAGCTGACGTCGAAGAGGCTGAGCGAGGCCACGTTGGGAAGTTTCCCTGCCAGCGTTACGAGAATCGATGCCAACTCCCGACCTGTCTTCGAGTGCTCGATCTTTAAGCTTCGCACGCGGGTACCGAGGAGTTGCGCCAGTGAGCTCACACAGGCGATCGCCTGTTTCGGAGTGTCGATCTCGGGCTCCTCGAAATAGACCGCGCGGCTCGCGGCATACCACCCTCGGCAAACGAGGGCGCAGGTCAACAGAGTCGCTCTGGAATTCTGCCAAGGCTCCGGAAAGAGATGGTCGATGATGCGCTCGCAGATCTCGGGCGGAAGGCGAGGCTGACGGTCATTGATAGGCGGGGCGACATAGACGTCTACTGGAGCGGCCATGACAGCTGTCGTTATATGAGCAAGTGTCCGAGAACATGCTTGTAGCTGCTCACGAGCGTTTCCAAGTAGGTTGGACGGCCTGCGGCGACTTAAAGATGTGCAACCTCTTATATACGTGACGAACGCTTCGATACCACAGAACCACAAGCGTTCGAACGTTCACGAGTCCGATACGGTCCGCTAACACTCATACAGCCTCTATTAGTGGCACTTGATCATCGGATACCTCCATCGGCAAGGATAGAGGCTACTACGTGGCACTGTAGCATTGGATAGTTTGAGTTCCTCTGTCCTCTGTCCGTCACCCGAAAATAATCTTTGGACGTACACATGACAGCACAGCGATTTAACTGCATTCATTCTCTTATCGAACGCCGGACGTCGATGTTGCTCTGCGCATGCGCTAATCGTGACGAATCTGTTGTGCTGCTTTTGAACGTTTGGCTCATCGCAATCATATGTGGCTCACCTTCTTCAGAGTTACTGCCATTCGCTTTCTCAGCTACGTCTTGGAGCGTGCCATGGACAGCATCCGCAAGATGTGGGTACAAGTCACGCGCCCGCACAACCCATAGCCTAGTGAACGGAGGATGTCGTGTTAAATGGACGGTCGCTGTGGCGGGCACTGCGCATTGCATCACCTGCCGTGAACATGGAGCTTGCAGCACACATGTACAGTGGCCATGCCGCTCAGCCTGGCTCCTGAGCTTCCGTTTCTCAGCGATTCCTGTTATCCGGCCCCGAGTTCCCCCAATCGCGCTTGATTGCGGTGCAATGATCCCTGCAACCGTAAGGCCGATCAAATACAGCACTGTCTTGAGGCTCTGATGCGCCCAATAGCCTCGCAAAGATTGTGTGTCCACAGGGTCATCAGAGTTGGCATAGCATTGTTGGTACCACGTCGCTCATGGGAACCTAAATGAGCTGCCTTTAGTGGCACAAGCAAGAGATGAGGAAGATGCCGCTCACCTTGATATTCTCATAGTGTCAAAAGTGATCCGAGCGCTCCAGATAATACCGGTAAAAATAGCTCGAGTCGAGACGCACCGAGTACAATGCGTTGGGATGCTCTCCTTCCATTGTCTGCGGAACATGTCTGCCTCGTGGAAAGCTGCACGCCGATGAACTCGTATTGACTGTGAAGGAGTCAGATCTAGACAGCTAACGCTCAAAGTGCATCTATGGCATGTTAGCATGGTATTGATCTGCTTGGGATACATCCCAGCCTTCAATTGTACGATATCCTGTTGTAAAGACGATGCGTTTCACGGAGAAAGTGCAGGGGTTAGCAGTCACGTACTCGATGATGAAGTTTAAATGGCAAGACACTCACACGTCTTGCTACCTGAGCTTTCCCGCAGCGATGACCATCGCTTCGCCGTGAGGCCGTCGTAACTCATACAGTCATCGCGAGACGGTCTTTTGCGAAATTTCTGCGCGTAAACAATGCACAACCATCACCTTTGAGTTGTAGTTCGGCCTGTCGGGGATCTTCTCGGTCATCTCGCCCTTGTCAGCATCTTGCCTTGTTTCTGGCGAGGTCACTCAAGAAGGTGATGCTGCATCATGATAAGCAGATCAGAAAAGAGACTATATAGAGTGAAGTTCGCAATGCAAGACATCCGCCCAATCGAACATGCATCTGCGGAGACGGCAGATGTAATATCAGTGCTTCAGTATGGTACAGACGAAGTGGTATCGAGTATACTTCAACATCACCAAGGCGTGTCAAGTACAGCAAAGACAAATCCGATGAACGCGCAACCGTCACTCGCCTCTCCGAGCACGTATTTCCGGATCGAGATACTTCATCCTCCCACGACCTGCAACCCATCAGCACGAGAATACCTCCCAAGGAACGCACGGACGCACCCTTGAACCGCACTCCACCCGTATTCTCTGCCTGCTCCCTCTCCACCTGCCGCTTCAGCCTCTCCAGCTCGCGTCTCTTTGCCTCCGCCAGGCGCTCCTTCTCCTCCCTCTCCAGCCTTGCGTCGTACTGTTCCTCCGTCTCCTCCCCCGGCGCGACTGGGGATGTCGGCAAGGGCGAAAGATCTTTCTTGCGCTCGCTTTTGCTCTTCTTGTGCCGGTGGCGACGCTCACGCTCTGACTCAGATTCAGCCGCAGAATCGGCGTGACGGTGCCGGTGCCGACGCTTCTTGAGGTCGCGCTGCTTCTCATCGCTCGGTGGCTCGCTCTCGCTCTCCGAGGCAGAGCGCGCCGGTCTTTTCACTATGATACGCTTGTTATGTGAATTCGCTGAAAGAATGATATCCGCGTACCTTCTGGCTCCTGTGATTTCACTTTGGAGCGGAGCACGAGCTCACCGCAGTTGTCAATCGTGACGGAGACCTTCGGGCGATCTTTTTCATCGACGGGGACCTCGGCGATCTTCTCGATGACTTCTTTGTACCCGCGAATGACACGCCCGAACACGACGTGTTTTCCTGGATCTGCCATGTCAGGCATCGTAGCTAAGCATCTGGACAATATGCGCACCGTTCAAGTGCGGGCAGTCACGGAGGGTGATGAAGAACTGGGAGCCGTTGGTATTGGGACCTTTGTTGGCCATGCATAGCAGTCTGAGAACGTCAGTTTGACGGCTGCCGTTGCACGACGAGCCACGTACCCTTCCGAATCGATCGGACGCGTAAGGTCTTCGTCGTTAAACGTCCCGCCGTAGATAGATTCTCCTCCAGTGCCGTTCCGTTTCGTGAAGTCTGCGACCGAGATGATATCATGCCATTTTATTCGATAACGACATCGATCGCCGCACACTCACCACCGCCCTGAATCATGAAGTCTTTGATGGACCGGTGAATGATGCTGTTCTTGTAGTACAGCGGTCTCTGCGAGAGCGGAGACAATCCTTTCTCGCCAGTGCACAGTGCGCGAAAGCTGCAAGCCGGTTGTCACTCAGTTGCGCAATTCCTGCACTCTCGGACAGAACGGATGCATACCCACTTTTCGCATGTCTTGGGTGCGGTATCACTGAACAGCTCGAGGATGATCCTGCAGAAACACGTTAAAATCCGGTAAATTAATGGCACAATTTCTGACCTTCCAACGGGCTGGTTGTCGATTGAGATATCAAAGAAAACGCGAGGGCGGACCATGGTGAGATGTTCGAGTGAAGCTCCGAGCAAGCGCGTAGCAGGCCGAGAGCGCCTCACGTGGTGCCACCCGCCAACGTTCAGGTTTATGCGTCCACCGTTGCTTGTGTCGGAGCCCGGCAATCACAGACGACGTCGGGCACCTGCGACGCCTTTTACGAATATTGCGCTGCGGTGCAACAGCCGGCCGGGAGACGGATCGCGGGGAGAGTGATCCTTGTGCGCGCGTCTACGGCCGCATTCTCTGCGCGCACGCCAGCGGTCGCCCCTCCTTCTCCTGCCTCCCCTTCCCCTTCCTTCCGCTGCCCATGTGCCTCGTGTAATCTCCCGCGTGTTCTCCTCGCCTCGCTTTGCGACTCGCTTCACCCTCCCCAGCCTCCAGAGTCACCGCGGACTGCGTCTCATGCCGAACCCGCGAAAGTACAACGCGGTGGTCCTCGGAGGTAAGCCGCTATGCTCCGCGCGCACAGCCTCGTGCTCACCTGCCAAGCGCAGCTGGAGGAGTGGGCAAGTCGGCGCTTGCAACGCGTTTCCACCGCAAGGTCTTCGTCGAGCAGTACAACCCCACCATCGAAGGTTCGTCGTGTGCTGCTCTCGGCCTGCCGTCGCCCTCTCACGACTGTTAGCAGAGGAGTATCGCTGCGAGGTCACGGTTGATGGCGAGCGATGTATCGTGCGTGTGACTTATGTTTGTACCCCACAATCAATCTCACGTCGCGCTCACAGCTCGAGATTCTCGACACGCCGGGCACCGAGCAATTCACAGCACTCAATGAACGGTACCTGAGAGTACGTCTCGACGTTGTCCTGGATACCACAGCCTGACTTTAGCGCCACGCTTCAGGGTGCACAAGCATTCATACTTGTATTCAGGTCAGCGTCAAAGTCCCACACTCATTCAGGCCAGACTGATTGATTGCCGTCAACCACAGTTTGATTGAAGAGTCCAGTCTCAAAGACGTCGATAACATCCGACAGCAGATTTATCAACTCAAAGGCACCGACAAGGTGAGATTAATTGCATTCCCGTCTCAACTGGGGCACGAACACGACGAATCTGATATTGCTGAACAGGACATACCCATTGTCGTCGTTGGCACCAAGCTGGATCTGGTGGGTGTCTTCGGACCTTCTTCGGTGTTTTGCGCGAGGCTGAAACCGTCGGATCACCAGAGTAACGAGCGAGCCGTCTCGCGGGACACCATTAAAGACCTCGCCGTCCAGTGGAACCTGCCGTTTTACGAAACATCCGCGAAGAAGGACTGGCATGTCACCGACGTCTTCGAGGATCTGGTGCGGCAGCTGCGCAATCGATACCCGGATGCGCCTCGCAGCCGAAGAAAGAAGAAAGATACCTGCTGCGTGATGTGATGCTCTCTCTCTTCTGTACCCATTGTCTCTCGTTTCCAGCTACGCTCTCGTGTCGTGCCGTGCTTTGCCGTCTCGCGCACACCAGGCCCCTCGATACCTTTCCTTCCATTGTCTGTGCGGTCCGTGCTATTTATTTGCGTCCGTATCGTAGCTTGCTCTCTAGTACCATACCACTACGCTATCTTCGCAGCTGTTTCGTGCACAACTACCATGCTTTGCCAACCTTCCACATGCAGTACGTCTATGTTGTTCATGCTGTCCTTGCTCGTATTACGCCGCTATCTCCATCCTAATGACTCGTTTGTGGAACGTCCTGACTGCATGAACGTATAGCCCGATGCAAGGGTGACTGAGATGGCGAGCGACGTCCTCGATGTGACCACCGTGATATGAGTGACAGATGTGACATATGCTGTGCCCGGGGTCTCGATGAAGAAAAGATGGCCGGGGTCCTCACTGATTATAGAGGCACCGGCGCGTTGCTGGCCTCGCCTTTTTTTCCTTTCTCCCTCCATCTCGCTTTCGTGCCTTCAATCCGTATCGATTTTCTTCGTCCTCTTTCCACACCTTTCATACATAGATCCATCATGGTACGTTCTGCAGCATCTGTCAAAGGTCCATGGTCGCTCACTCTTCCTCCCACGCAGAGCTACGGCGGCTACAGCGGAGGCTACGGCGGTGGTTACGGCGGCGGCGGCGGCGGCGGCTGGGGTCACGACGACCGCATGGGCCACTTAGGCGGTGGCCTGCGCAACATTGACTGGAACTCGACAAAGCTCGAGCACTTTGAGAAAAACTTCTACGTCGAGGACAAGCGTGTTTCTGCTCGTAGCGACCGTGAAGTCGAAGAGCTCCGCCGCGTCAAAGAGATGAAGGTGCAGGGCCGCAATGTCCCGCGTCCTGTCACTTCCTTTGACGAAATCGGCTTCCCTGAGTACATCATGTCCACAGTCCGTGCGCAGGGCTTTGCTGGGCCGACACCGATTCAGTGCCAGGCGTGGCCTATGGCGCTGACTGGCCGAGATGTTGTCGCTATCGCGCAAACTGGTAGCGGTAAAACGATCTCGTTTGCCCTCCCGGCGATGTTGCACATCAATGCGTAAGTGCTGTCCGCTCATACCTCTAGTGCATCGTCTGACTTTTTATTTGTGTAGGCAACCTCTTTTGGCGCCTGGCGATGGTCCCATTGCGCTTATTCTTGCTCCCACCCGTGAGCTCGCTGTACAGATCCAGCAAGAGTGCACAAAGTTTGGGTTAGTAATCTTCCTTAGCTTACGCGTGGTGCAAACGTTGACGCCGTTGTCATTAGTGCCAACTCGAAAATTCGCAACACTGCCGTCTACGGTGGTGCACCAAAGGGTCCCCAAATCCGTGACCTGCAACGTGGTGTCGAGATTGTCATCGCCACACCTGGCCGTCTCATCGATATGCTCGAGTCCAGCAAGACTAACTTGCGCCGCGTGACTTACTTGGTCATGGACGAGGCTGATCGTATGCTGGACATGGGTTTTGAGCCTCAGATCCGCAAGATCGTCAGCCAGATCCGACCTGACAGACAGACGCTGATGTTCAGCGCGACCTGGCCTAAGGACGTGCAGAAGCTCGCTAACGTAAGTTATCTCATCGTAGCTACTCACGGACGTCAGTCTAATTGTTCATCACAGGACTTCCTGAAGGACTTCATTCAGGTCAACATTGGCTCTATGGAGCTCACTGCAAACCATAGCATCCAGCAAATCGTCGAAGTTTGCAGCGAATTTGAGAAGCGGTCGAAGCTTATCAAACACCTTGACCAGATCAGTCAAGAAAATGCGAAGGTGCTGATATTCGTGGGCACGAAGCGAGTCGCCGACGATATCACCAAGTATCTCCGTCAAGACGGATGGCCAGCACTGGCCATCCACGGTGACAAGGAACAGTGCGTAGTCGTATTCCACGCTCTTTCCGGTTGTGTGCTGACTAATGTTTAGGCGCGAACGTGACTGGGTTCTGGGCGAGTTCAAGGCTGGAAGATCGCCTATTCTGATTGCTACCGATGTAGCCTCCCGTGGTCTTGGTATGTTCTCACTTGTTGACAAGCGCTACGGTTGCGTTACAGCACCACAACTTGGCGGCGAAAGCCGTTGATGAACAACGGCGGACTGCAGTGGCAGTCTCTACGTTTCACAGGTCTAGTGGGTCGTTTCCGGAGCAAGGCAGGCCAAGGCTCAACACGCGCACCGAGAACCTGGCGGACTCCCTGATGCTGTGCTGTAGCCTCCCTCTGACCTAGCACCATAGACCCGGCTGCGTTCGCTTCTTCACAGATGCGCGGCATGCTCGGGTTGACCTTACACGAACAGTACCGTTCTTGGTGTTGGTATGGTATGGTTATGGACTCTGGCAACACATTCTAGGGATGCAAGAGTTCGTCTCCAGTCGACAATGGGTTCCGCGCGTACAAGACTTGCCTGTCGCTAGCTGCTCGGACGTGTCATGCCTCAACCTGTCTCTTTCCTGGTTGAGGTGGCCCTTGGACGTGATTGTGGTCATTGCTATCGAGCGCTTGTGTTTTGTGTTAGATGTGTCGAGTTCTGACCATGCTCCTCTATTTGTTTCATGTAATCTCCCTACTTGCTGGACCTGGTTGACTGTGCGTGCTCTCTTGCGGTTCACGTGTCTCATCTGGGTCTGCTGGTCTGTTCCACAAACAGACGTGAAGGACGTCGGCTATGTCATCGTGAGTCATTCGGTCTTCCATCTTTCGTCCACATTATGCTGATCATATTCCTCCTAGAACTATGACTTCCCCAACAATTGCGAAGACTACATCCATCGTATCGGTCGTACAGGAGTAAGTTTCACACTATCGTGAGTATGTCATAACGTGTTCTGACTTTCATTCATTAGCGTGCCGGTATGACGGGTACTTCGTATACCTACTTCACCACGGACAACGCCAAGTCTGCCCGTGAGCTCATCGGCATCTTGCGCGAGGCCAAGGCCCATGTCCCTCCTCAGCTGGAGGAAATGTCGATGTTCGGTGGCGGCGGCGGCGGTGGTCGCAGTACGTATTAACCTCTATAATGTCTATATGAATGATCACTCACCGAACTCCCATAGGCCGTTACGGCGGTGGCGGACGTGGACGCGGCGGAGGAGGTGGTGGAGGTGGTGGAGCTAGATCATGGGGTGGCCATGACAATGGCTACGGTGGCAAGAACGATCGGTGGTGAAATTTTTCTTCTCTTTCCTTATGTTACCCCGGGTCGGACGCCTCCTGCTCCTGAACGCTCTACCCAACAGGGGAGATAGAATTTACATGCGGTTGTCGGCTGTAATGCGTGCTTTTCGAATGCCGTTTGTAATATGGGTATATAGAGTCGTCGTCGTCGGCGCTTGCAGAACGCACAGCGGTAGTCGACGGTCATCATGACGAACATTCAATAGATGGAAACAGGTTAATCATCTGTGTTTGAGGCTTTCCGGGCCCCGGCTACTCTGAGAATGCGAAGACCACTGCACTCGAGGCTGTAAGTAGTGTCCATCCAAGATTGCATATATGTGATTGCGTTCGCGTTATCCTACATGATGCACAACAACTACAACAAGGGACTTCACCGCGAGGAGTATTTTCACTTCTCTGCGTCAAACGATTAGCAGAAGGATCCCATGACCAAAGCAAAGGTATACATACTCGGACCTCGCTTCATCCACTTTGGGACCTTCGACTCTGCCTTCGGTTCCTTTGGTGGTGCAGGTTTCTTTCCCGACTTGGAACCTCCAGAGATGGAGGAGGCGCGCGAAGATGCCGACGACTCCTCGGGCGTCGCATCAAAGTTGGGCGGTGCGGGAAGGTCTTCGGCGGCCGCGAGCACCGATTCTGCCAGCGGTGCGGGAACATCGGTGTCTGCGGTAATCCAGATAATAAGCTTCCGACACAGGTGAACGAAAACAAAGGCACGCACAATTGAGCGAGTCGTCTTCGAATCGCAAGAGGAGCACGGAAGACGGCGCGAGCTGCAAGTCGGCGAGGGACACGTCGCGCACCTGAGGGTCGGACACCTTGAACTCGCGCTTTGGCGGCGTCTGGTCTCCTCGCGCGCGCCCGTGGCGCATCAGCCGCGAGCCTCACGCAGAAAGAGGAGGAACGGAGGGTACATACAGAGTACGAACTTGATCGGCTTGACGTCCTCACGGAGGGAGCCACGCACGAACGCGTATACGGAGCGGATCTTGTCCGTCGAGAGGAATGTCTTCTCGAGTTGGCTGCGGTCGCTGAACTTCACTCGTATGGTCGTCTGGTGGTACGGATGGTCAGTGGTGCGGTTGGGTGGTAGAAGGTGAATGGTGAGGCATACAGTTGGCCAGCGTGCCCGTTTCGCCTTTTCGTCCGCCTCTCGCATAGCCTGTGTTCGTAATGGAGCATTGACGAAAGCCTGTGTTCGTGCTGAAAGCGATGCTTGTGCGGCTTTGAGATCTGCTGTGCTTGGTTGGAAATACGAATCCGGGAGCTCCTCTGAGCGGTCGGAACGGGTGAGAGATCGAGGACTCTACCAGCTGAAGACGAACGTACTGCGTTCTATGCCGGATTGTGGTGTCCTGTAGTATCTGAACGCTGGCGGTTCTGATGGTGATGCAGCATTCTGCACGGTGGGTTGCGTAGGCTCGACAAATGGAGCGGCCACGTTCGGCGCACCACTTGCTCCCTCCTCCGTCTGAACGGCTTCCTCAATAAGATCGGACATGGTGGATGTCGTCTCGTGGGTTGATATGCTCAAAATGGTCGTAGGCTGACACTCCGAGCTCAGAGACGCTGTCCACCGAGTGGCTTAGCTAAGGATTCGACGAGAATGATCTCGAAATTACCAGTAATCGTACATACAAAGTGCAAGTTACAAAACGTTAGCTTCCATCCAACGGCACCGTTTGGAGTGAACAAAGGCAGTCTGCATGGGGACGCGTCAGCGATGGTCATGAATCATCCGAGGAGAAATCAGAGTTTGTATAGTTGTCTCATACACGCGGCCCCAGGGCGCACCGGCGAGTGACCCCTTTGGTGTGAGGCCGCGAGCAATCGAACGCAAATTACAAAAGTATGCATCATACAAAGAACGAAAGAGACAGCAACTCACCAACTTGAGCGAGCGGAGAACGACGGCGGCGAGACGAGATATCGAGGCGAATTTCGAGGAATGAAATTTATGATGACGAGAGAATTTTGTGTGCACATGTTTGGGCTGTGGCTCGAGTCCTCGATCACCTGGCTGGGCCACCACACGAGGATGGCCCGTCTGGTTGGCATCTCTCACTTTCTTCTTCGCATTCATGTCACACAATCACTCACACGGTAGTTGCGGCGACGAAGCGCACGACCACGACCACCATCATGGCATTCCGGAGGCTCAGGGCGTCCGGGACAATCTCTATTCGTATATTGACCGCCCGAACGTGGTCGCTCTGAACGCAGATCCGGGCAAGGGTCCGGAGGTCATCAAGCCTTGGGATCAACGGCTTGACGAGGAGACGGTGCGTATAATTGCGGCTGTTTCGCTAGCGTCGGGGTGAGCGTTCTGAAGCTGACATGTTTGTGACTAGTTCCTCGAGTCGGATGCGGACGATCAGATGTAAGTCGTGCTATACACCAAGGTTCGATGCAGCTACAGACGTCGGACAGGATTATACGCGTACCATTCACGGGATCAGTCAAGCTTCGTGCCGTCCTTCTCAAAGCCGGACCAGGCGAACACACACCTGCAAAGGTCAAAGTGGTACGTCCCACACCAGCTCGTCTGCATCCCTAGACGCGCTCATAAACGCCCTCCCGACCACAGTACAGCAATCTCGACAATGGAGATTTCTCGAACATTGCAGACGCGAAACCTGTACAAGAATTTGACATTGCCCAGGGCAGGGAAATCGGAGAATACCATGTCATGTGCGCATCTCATCCTTCTTCCCTCGGCCGCGCTTGAACGTGCGCTCACACCGCCCTACAGGCCAGCAAAGTTCCCGAACGTCACATCTTTAACGCTCTTCTTCCCTTCGTCGCAGGGTGCTCACACCATGCGCATATACTACCTCGGATTCATCGGCCAATGGAGTGAGGTAACATGCTTTCGATTGTCCTTCTGCGTGTCTGTCCTTGACTACTTCCACAGCGCAAGAATGAGCCAGTCATTGCCGTTTACGAGGCGCGGGCACGGCTAGTCGACCATCCACAGAAGATCCAAGGCATTGACGGCCACTTCGTCGCACCGGATCAGGCCGAAGGTCCCAAGTAGCCCAAGTAGTGTTTTCCACATCGAACAGTGCTGTATCGCTCAAGTATTACTCGAGCCTCAACTGTTGCCATCTCGTGCGGTCTGTTGCATTTATGTATCAGTAGCGTGATCCTTCCCTAGGCGTAATCATCCACCTAGTTGTAATGTACGCCCTTTGTCAAAGTCGGACCCAATACATCCACATCGCATCTTTGTTCACAAACCAATTGTAAGATCATAACGGTACTACAATAATACAATTATTGCAGATTATGAGTCTCAAAGATGAGTACGGAATTATTTCACAACATCAACACCTCTCGGAAGACTCCTCCTGCCCGCCGGGCGGAGCACACTGTGGCGAGCCAACACCACTACTATCGAGTCGCGCGAATCCCACTATCGTCGGCCCCATCCCACTATCAATCGCTCATCCCACTATCGAGTTTTAAGGCATGAATCCCATCGATAATACTAAACTCGTCATTACTCTGGTCTTGTGCTGCTTGTTGCTGCTGTGCCTGTTGTTGCTGCTGCTGCTGCACCGCCTGCGCCTGCAACTTCATCTGCTGCGCCATAAACGCCTGAATCTGCTGTATCCGCTTCTCCTGCGGGAGCTCCATCAGCAGCGCCTGCTGCGCCTGCGGCAACTTATACAGCAACAGCGCAAACTGAGGCGGGATCTTCGACAACGACATCCCGCACACTTCGTGCGGGAGCTCGGGCATGCCTTCTTTCCCGAGAAAGACGACACTGACGAATTGATAGGGCTTGCCGGGGAATAGTAGCATGCGGTCGCGGTTCTCGCCGTTGGGGCCGCTGAACGCTGCCACCGCGTACTATAGAATAGAATGATATGATGCTCAGTCACGTCTGCGCAGAAATGATTAATTGTGGGCACACGCACCCTGCTGTGATCAGCTAGCAGACGCGCGAGAGCGACGAAGCTCTTCTCGTTAGTCTTCGTGTCCGCGAGCCGAGGCTGCGATATAACATGCACGATGGCACACTGGCCCGCATTCCGCTCGATCCAATCCTGCAGGATCTGCGGAGGAAGCACGGAATGCTGCGAAGGCTTCAGGATAAATATGCTTGGCCACTGCATGGCCCGCCTGGCACACACAGTCAGCGACGCTCTCTCTATATATAACGCAAAGGAGAGACACTCACAGCTGGTCGACGCAATTCCGTGCAAGCAGCGAGACCTGCGCGCTACCCGTCCCTTTACCCGTGATCGTCCACGCCAACGAGCCCTCCCACACGACCTGCCCAACAACGTCATGTCTTCCCTGCGCTGGGTTGCTCGGACCGGCGACAGAAGGCGGTTGGGCGACCGGGTGCACCTGGGGCGGCAGGGGGGATACGTCGGTACGGTTCTTGGCTCTCCCAGCTGCGCCGTTGGTGGTAGGAACGTCGAACGAGGAACCTGGGGAAGCACGGCGTTCGTCGGCTGTGGCAAAGGGGCGGGTGGCGGAAGTGGAGATGAGTTGGATGCAGGCATCTCTCGGAACTCAGTGGGAGGGTGGTGGCCTGAGATTTGCTGCGGCGCCGACGACGACGTTGATGGCTGTGTCTCCATGCGCTGCACCGCCCCTTGTTGCGTAGGCGGAGGGCTCGTCACGGCGGCCACATTCGGCGCACCCTCCTAGATATCGATCGATATCTGTATACGGAGACTATAGAGCTCCCTCATGGTGGATAAGTATCCGATATTCAATATTCAATGCTCACCTTGTAAGCGCGCAGCAGGAACCGAAACAATGGATTTTGCCAGCTTACAGTAATGTCCCGTCATGCTAAATAAAACCATCTGTCATTTGGAATCTCCGATCACTTTCTTCCATTCCACACAATCACTCATAGGCGTACACACGGCAGTTGCGGCGACGAATCGCACAGTCACGACCACCACCATGACATTCCGGAGGCTCAGGGCGTCCGAGACAATCTCTATGCGCACATTGACCGCCCGAACGTGGTCGCTCTGAACGCAGATCCGGGCAAGGGTCCGGAGGTCATCAAGCCTTGGGATCAACGGCTTGACGAGGAGACGGTGCGCATAATTGCGGCTGTTTCGCTAGCGTCGGGGTGAGTGTTCTGAAGCTGACATGTTTGTGACTAGTTCCTCGAGTCGGATGCGGACGATCAGATGTAAGTCGTGCTATACACCAAGGTTCGATGCAGCTACAGACGTCGGACAGGATTATACGCGTACCATTCACTGGATCAGTCAAGCTTCGTGCCGTCCTTCTCAAAGCCGGACCAGGCGAACACACACCTGCAAAGGTCAAAGTGGTACGTCCCACACCAGCTCGTCTGCATCCCTAGACGCGCTCATAAACGCCCTCCCGACCACAGTACAGCAATCTCGACAATGGAGATTTCTCGAACATTGCAGATGCGAAACCTGTACAAGAGTTTGGCATTGCCCAGGGCAGGGAAATCGGAGAATACCATGTCATGTGCGCATCTCATCCTTCTTCCTTCGGGCGCGCTTGAACGTGCGCTCACACCGCCCTACAGGCCAGCAAAGTTCCCAAACGTCACATCTTTAACGCTCTTCTTCCCTTCGTCGCAGGGTGCTCACACCATGCGCATATACTACCTCGGATTCATCGGCCAATGGAGTGAGGTAATATGCTTTCGCTTGTCCTTCTGCGTGTCTGTCCTTGACTATTTCCACAGCGCAAGAATGAGCCGGTCATTGCGGTTTACGAGGCGCGGGCACGGCTAGTCGACCATCCACAGAAGATCCAAGGCATTGACGGCCACTTCGTCGCACCGGATCAGGCCGAAGGTCCCAAGTAGCCCAAGTAGTGTTTTCCACATCGAACAGTGCTGTATCGCTCAAGTATTACTCGAGCTTCGACTGTTGCCATCTCGTGCGGTCTGTTGCATTTATGTATCAGTAGCGTGATCCTTCCCTAGGCGTAATCATCCACCTAGTTGTAATGTACGCCCTTTGTCAAAGTCGGACCAAAACAAGTTCACAAACCAATTGTAAGATCGTAATGGTCATCCTCATTCAAAACCAATTGTCAGATCATACCGGCGGCAATTGCGCCACCAAATTCTAAAAAAAGCAGGCTTGCAGCCAAGTGGATTAACTCGTCCGAGAGCGACTTGTCGCCTACGGCTATTTTGGAAGTCACTGGGGGAAGACGAGCTACGCATGGCATTTATCAGACTACATAAGCCGACTGGTCGTCAAGGAGCTGCACACTCTGCAGCGGATGTTCCGACCGCTGCACCTCATGACAATCCTCGAGACAAATCAGCAACCATGTCGTCGACGAGCGGGAGTCTCCCAGACATGTCACATGGTTTGAATGGATCTTCATCGGTGTGCTGTCGAGTCCTCTTGAGCTCCTTCTCGGTAGACTGCAGCGTGCACCGCATTTTGGCCTTCGTGGAAAGCTGGATGAAAAACGTGAACGGGTCGGTCACGGAGTCGGCAGCGGAGCCAGAAGCGTTTAAAAGTGGGCGTATATAGCGGGACCACGTAGTCGCTGAGACAGTTCACAATCAGGCCATCGCGGACTCTGGAGCAAACCGCTATTCCGATCGTTCATATACATATCCAGGTCGTCGTCCGATCTGCTTGAATCGCGTCGTGACTCGATGATCTCCGGAGAAAAGGCCAAGTCTAGATGCCAGGATGTGGACAAGATATAAAGTCAGGACTTTGTACAATGTTGTGTTGCAATCCGTGGTTGGACGGCCGCCATCGGTGTCGACGTCTCACTTTATCCTTATATGGTATCAATGTTTCCTATTGTAGCAGATCTTTTCCCCAACCCATTGCCGAGCACCCCAATGCTCGGGTTTGGCGCGCCCGAGCGGACAAAAGTATATTGTGCTCGAGATAACGAGAATGACGGTTTATGCTCACCTAGTTAGGTGTTAAAATCGGATAGTGCATTGATTTCGGCACGTTTCTGTGTATATATGCACCTCAAAAAGGATTATTCGCCTATGGTCGTTGATTATGCTTATGCTTTGATTGACACGACGCATTTCGGCATGTTCCGATCAGTCACATGAGTCACACAGGCGCGCTTGCACCACTATCTCCATTCCGAGCCATTCCGTCGGCCATGTATCCTGCTAGAGCACCCTTCACACGCAAACGGGTGATGCCGCTCAACTGGCAGAGCAAAAGCGGCCCTGTCTCATGTTTCTGAGCCATGTACAGTGCATGACCTGGGGTTTCTCGATGCTGCATCTTTGAGGCATCACCACCCAGCACTATGAGAGAGACCGACATTGGATCCGGGCCATTCACGGATGCTGCAGGAGAGGCAGACACTGCGAACATGCCTGTATTGTTCAGGAGGATGTGTAACTACACTAGCGGCCAGCAGAATCCCATCAGACCATTCTATTTTACAGAACATCCAGATCTCAACCACGCACAGTGTCCTTGATGTGCATGTTCCACCGCCACTGTCATTCTGCTGCCTGGTCTATCAAGTCATTTTGGGCTGGTAGAGGGGAAGTACTGAGAGAGGAATCGAGGAGGTGGGCTCTGCGCAGTGAACACCTGGGCACTTGTAGGCACGGAGGTGAGAGGAAATGAAGGAATATATTTGGTGGCGCAGCCTGAGCACAAGCGCGCGTCATAAACACAAGTCTTAACTGTAAGCGCAAGCCGCTTACATCAGGTGCCAAAGCGTACGCCACAACGCGAAAGCACAAACGAGCCGATTCTAATCAAAATAGTCCAAATCTTAAGCTCACATAATTTTGTCCGCTGGCGCCCCTCATACTCGGGACTTGGCAGCATAGTATATATTTAGCCTGCATCGAGTATGCCGGATGCCCCAGAGTTCTCCTGGTGCATCCACGTATGTGCTTTACTTTAGATCTGTTCACACAAGTTGTACTTACAGATTACTCAGTGACGTGAAGATACACATCACTGTACATGTAGGTATGAATACAAGAGGTTCTCCTGGTGCATCCGCTGACGTGAAGATATGCGTCACTGTATCACTCTCCGGTCGCTCCGAGTCGAGTAGCCGCAGGCGTGCCACCAGCCGCGCTGACCTTTCCGGTCACCCGTTGCACCACCGCTCCGAAGCGCGTTACGTTGATATAGATTCTTCCACGTCGGTGAGCATGCAATCTGTTTTTGGAACGAGCATGGAATATAACTGCAAGATCCGTCAATGTTTACGAACGGCCGTTTGCTTGCCTCGCTCATAAAGACAGCTGCTGTGGCGTAGATACGGCGGCTTTGGAAATACATCGGCGATCACCGAAGGGTGGCATTCGCGATCACCTTGGACCAGCGCCGTCGCTGGTGCTGCTTGTCTCCAAACGTCGCACTTGTCCCGTGGATACTTTCTGTGGCACTCGTTCTGGATATCCGGACCTCACGCGAGTCTATTTTACAAGCGGGAACACTGTACAAAAGAACATCTCTCGCTCTGCTGTACACCTTGAACGACTTCTCAACACCAACCAATGTCGGAACAACGGGCGGCCGCGTCCGAGGTCGTCGCCGTCGCCTACGTGCTCGACTCCTCCCTCGCGCTCGCATACGAATGGGGTCCTATTCTCCACGGCTATCTCATTCCCCTCCTCCAACGCCTCGGAGAGCTACACAGCCCCCTCGGTCGCGCAGTATGTCATCATTCCCTTCTCCGCCACTCCATCGCCTGTCTGGCACCGAAATATTATGTACCCGCATACTGAAACAATCGTTGCTAGCAGTTCCGCTTAGGTGTCGTGAGCTACGGCCACGCAGAGACAGAACCGACGCCCGTTCTGGGCAAACTCTTCTTCGCTCCGCCCGCAGCTGTCATCAATGACCTATCAGTTGACCCCAGCAAGCTGGGAATCGGCATGACAGGCTCTGGAGGAGGCAAGGGCATGGCAGCGCTCGAGGGGCTGGTCGCTGTGATGGAGGTACGCGTTTCAGTATTCCTATCAAAGACATGTCATTCAGACGTGTATAGCTATTTGATCAATTTCGGGAGTCACTAGACGTAAGTCTCACTTTGCAAGGTACCTTGGCGTGGAGCAGTCGCTGAATGCGTCATGTTGACAGGTCCCCTTGGCCGCCTCGTATATAATCCACATTGCAGCGATGCCTCCCGACAACTCTGAGCGGCCCGTATGGAACATGTCTCCAATCCTAGACGACGTCTCATGGGACACACTCCCTTCCGAGCTACAAAAGGTACGGCAAACGACTTCGGGCAGATTGCTCACCAACTCATTCATTGGCACCACGCAGCGAGATATCAGCTACAGCAACATCCTCCTGAAGCAACAACTTCCGCGCTTCCCAGAGCTGCACGCTGCTGTGCGTGAATTTGCCCGTTGCTCCAGGTGATCATCTGCCCACAAACAAATCGTACCGCAGGCTGCCGCAGGGTCGACTCAGAAACCGTGGTTCCAAGTCCTTCCGCAACATGTGCTCCATCTGAGCGGTTTCCCAACTTTGCAGCAGAGAGGTGCCGTGTTTTTCTAATCCTGTGTTACTCACATCCACTAATGTTGCCGAGTGGAGTAGGAATGAAGCGTCCTCATGATAGCGCCGTCGAGGGCAGTCCCAACTCGAAACGAGCACGCGTGCACACCCACCCCATCCAACCATCCCCCACCATCACCAACACCACCCCTCGCACACCATCCATCTCCGTCCCCACATCATCCACGAACCCCCCATCGCACACAAATCCCAATCCTCCCACTGCCACCGCGCCCACCGCAAAGCCGCACCCGCCCCCGCAAGTCACCGCGGCGCAGGCGGCCGAACGCTTCCGCCAGCTGCAGCAGGGCCTCCAGCAGAAGCAGAAGGAGTATGCGGCGCTGATGGCGGCGGGGCGGCATGCGGAGGCGGCGGTGGTGTCGAGGGATGTGCAGAAGCATTCGGAGATGTTGAAGCAGTTGCATATGATTGTGTCGCGGTTGAAGGAGAGCAAGATGGGGGCGGCGCAGGTGCAGGCGCTGGTGCAAGGACAAGGTCAGGGACAGGTACAGGGTGCAGGAACGAGCGCAGGTGCAGGTGCGGAGGGGGCTGTTTCTACTGGCCAGGTGCAGAGCGTGGAGGCACAGCCATCGACGTCGACGTCGGCGCCGCAGCAAATCTCAGGCCACCACCCTCCCAAGTTCCAAGAGATGCCTGCACCCAACTCATCTCCACTCCCTCCGCCCGCCTCTTTACCACAGCCGACGAACGCCGTGCCTTCCCAAGTTCCTCGTCCGACCTTCCTACCACCAGCGCCAGATCCGAGGACCGTACCGACGTATCCCCCCGCGCCGCCCCAGGTGCGCTCGGCCGCTCAACCGCTTGCTGTCGCCGGTCCGAGCAACTCAGCGCAGGGAAGACATGACGTTATTGGGCAGGTCGTGTGGGAGGGCTTGTTAGCGTGGACGGGCACGGGTAATCGGACGGGTAGCGCGCAGGTCTCGCTGCTCGCGGGGAATTGCGTCGATCAGCTGTGAGTGTCTCACGTTTGCGCGCGCGCGAGAGAGAGAAGGGGTCGCTGACTTTTTGTGTTTAGGCGGGCTATGCAGTGGCCGAGCGTGTTTATGCTGAAGCGTTCGCAGCACCCCGCGCTTCCTCAGCAGATTTTGCAGGATTGGATCAAAAGGAATGCGGGGCAGTGTGCTATCGTGCATGTTATACCGCAGCCTCGGCTTGCGGACGCGAAGACTAATGAGGAGAGCTTTGCTGCTCTCGCGCGGCTGCTATCTGATCAAAGCAGGGTATGCCCGCATTTCATTATTTTTATGCAGACGTGACTGAGCACTGTTCCATTTCGTTTTGTAGTACGCGGTGGCAGCGTTCAGCGGGCCCAACGGCGAGAACCGCGACCGCATCCTTTTATTCCCCGGCAAACCCGGTCAATTCGTCAGCGTCGTCTTCCTAGGCAAGGAAGGCATGCCGGAGCTCCCACACGAGGTGTGCGGGATGCCGTTATCGAAGATTCCGCCTCAGTTTGCGCTGTTGTTGTATAAGTTGCCGCAGGCGCGCCAGGCGATGTTGATGGAGCTTCCGCAGGAGAAGCGGGTGCAGCAGATACAGGCGTTTATGGCGCAGCAGATCAAGTTGCAGGCGCAGGCGGCGCATCAGCAACAGCAACAACAGCAACAACAACAGCAGCAACATGCACAGCAGCAACAGGCACAGCAACAGCAAGCAGTACAGAATCAGCTGCAGCAGTTTGCTGCAAATTCTGCGCGGCTGTCTAATATTCATCCTGGAGCGTTCCCAACCGCAGCCACACAGCCACTGCAGACGCAGCCCCCCTTCCAACTGACCCAACAACAACAGGGAGGATTCGTCCCCCGCCCGAACTTTTACGGGATGAACCCGTTCGTGGGCGACCCCCCGCGGCTCGACAGGGTCATGGACGGCATCGGCATGGGCATGGGCATGGG